GCAAGGCCTATGTCAACCCTGTCTTTGAAAACAGCGAAGGGGACTTGCCAGGTGGAGCCACCCTGGAGGTGGTTGGGGAATGAGGACTGAATCATTTCTCTGTTCAGGATGTAAATGGAACTTATCATAGAAATACTGATCTGTGGAGAGCACTGTTACAAAGAAGATCCTTGGAAAAGCTTTGGGGACTTCTGGGCTTGAAATGGCGCCATGTGGTTGGCTGTGATGAGAGACTGGCACGAGTCCTGGTCCTTGCCTGGTTGGCTGGCTGGCTACCAACAGGCAAGAATGAGCCCAGTTCCTGTTTCTGGCATCCAGAAAGAACAAGTCTGGGCTACAAGAACGGGGTGGACCAAGAAAGGACTGCCTACCTGCCAGGGCTTCGTCACAGTTTGAATGGTTTAAGCCACTGCCAAAATAGGCTGCTAACTTGCACTTTGTCATAATAAAGTTGACTTTGTTTTTTCTCTAGTTGATCATCTATATAAATAAAAATGTAATGTTCATTTGTGGGATTAACAGAACTCAGAGACTGCTGGGTGAATTGACCCCAAATTTGGCCACAAGATACCAACCCAAGCAATCTATGTCCTTCACTCACAAAAAAAACCCCAAAACACTTCTCCCTCCCTCCTCAGAAAGAGGGAAGGAGTGCGTGTGCACGGCCAGCGGCGAGTGCGCATTCACAGCAGGTTCCCATGGAGGCCCTCCATTCAGGAGCTGGAGGAAAAGCCCTCATTCCCGCACACCTGCCTCCCTGTCACTATCCTTTACGTCAGGGGTCCTCAAACTACGGAGTGTGGAGAAGGGTGAGTCCCCCTCCTCCCAAGAAGTGCTACACCAGGCAGCATTCCGGCACGTGCAGAGGAAGCCAGGCTTCCTCCTCTTCATCTTTCAAGGGGAAACTTGCAACTGAAGGAAAGGAGGGATCAGGGGTGCATTCGGGGGTGAGGGAAAGAACAAACAAAAAGAGGCAAACAACACTTCAGATTTAGTCATTGACAACAAGTTAAACATGAGCCAACAATGTGATGTGGCGGCAAAAATAGCCAATGGGATTTTGGCCTGCATCGATAGGAACATAGTGTCTAGATCCCAGGGAAGTCATGCTCCCCATGCTCTATTCCGCTTTGGTTAGACCACACCTGGAATATTGTGTCCAATTCTGGGCACCACAATTCAAGAGAGATATTGACAAGCTGGAATGTGTCCAGAGGAGGGCGACTCAAAGGATCAAGGGTCTGGAGAACAAGCCCTATGAGGAGCGGCTTAAGGAGCTGGGCATGTTTAGCCTGAAGAAGAGAAGGCGGAGAGGAGATATGATAGCCATGTATAAATATGTGAGAGGAAGCCACAAGGAGGACTGAACTGTTTGTTGGAAATGAAAACTATGGCCTTGTCAACATCAGAAGAGGAATCATTGACGCACTGGGTGCCATGCCAAAAGATCTCAGCCGGCATTTGGAAACAATAAACATTGACAAAATCACAATCTGTCAACTGCAAAAGGCCTTTGGTTTTGGAGTTGGATCTGCGCGCATCATTCGAAAATACATCACACAGTCCTAGACGCTTGGGAAGTGTTCGACTTGTGATTTTGTGATACGAAATCCAGCATATAGATCTCGTTTGCTGTGACATACTGTGCTTTTGTGTCAGTAAAGTAATAATAATAATAATAATAATAATAATAATAATAATAATAATTTCCCCGCCACCATCTCCCCAAGGGGACTCGGGGTGGCTTACATGAGGCCAAGCCCAACAAATACATCAGTGCAACAACAAAGCAAGTAAGCAATAAAACAATACAAATAATATAACTAACATATAAGCAGTAACACACAAGAAATTTAAAACACTGTGGGTGGGCCAGATGCAATAGATTAAAAATGTTAAAAATACTGGGCGTGTACAGAGTAGGATATGTTTAGATAGGGGTTTTTTTTAGAGAGTGATGTAGGGAGATCAATCAGCGGGTAGATAAAGTGCTTCAGAGGACAATTGGTCAGAACAGGGAGTTATTGTTTATTCAGGGAAGGCACATTGAAACAGTCACGTTTTCAAGCTCCTCCTAAAGACTGCCAATGTGGGGGCTTGTCTGATATCCTTGGGGAGTGAGTTCCACAGTCAGGGGCCACCACAGAGAAGGCCCTCTCCCTCGTCCCCACCAGTCGTGCCTGTGGGGGGGGGGAGCGAGAGCAAGGTCTCACCAGATGATCGAAGAGATTGCGTGCGTTTGTAAACAGAAATGCAGTCACGCAGGTAGGCAGGTCCCAAACCGTTCAGGGTTTCTTCTTGGTACTGTACTAAAAGGATGAGGGGTTGGGAATGCCCATTGCCTCCTTGCCATGATGCAGTTGCCTTTGCATTGATAGTGATGAGATTTTGCTAGGACTGCAAATGGAGAGGTCTTTGCCCAGTGCACTTCCGCTATATCAGATCAGCCAGAGAACAAAGAGAACAAGCACTCTGGGCTGAAGGCAAACTACAGAGGATTATTACAGTTTGGCCAAAAAGGATGCAAAAAGGGACCAAGCCAATGCTCAAAATGTAAGTTAAAGGTAAAGGTTTTCCCCTGACATTAAGTCCAGTCGTGTCCGACTCTGGAAGTTGGTGCTCATCTCCATTTCTAAGCCAAAGAGTCGGCATTGTTCGTAGACCATATAGACTACTGCATCCCGTATAGACTACTGCAACACTCTTTACGTGGGGTTGCCTCTGAAGCCCGGAAGCTGCAATTAGTCCAACGAGCGGCAGCCAGATTACTAACAAGAGCGGGGTACAGGGAGCATACTACTCCTCTGTTGTGGCAGCTCCACTGGCTGCCAATTAGCTTCTGAGCACAATTCAAAGTGCTGGTGTTGACCTATAAATCCTTAAACGACTCCGACCCAGTTTACCTGTCCAAACGGATTCTCCCCTACGAACCATCAAGGTTGTTAAGATCTTCTGGAGGGGCCCTGCTCTCGGTCCCACCACCTTCGCAATCGCGGCTGGTGGGGTCGAGGGACAGGGCCTTCTCGGTGGTGGCCCCTCGGCTCTGGAACTCTCTCCCATTGGAGATTAGAACGGCCCCTTCCTTCCTGACCTTTAGAAAGTTGGTGAAAACCTGGCTCTGGAATCTCACATTTGATGAGTGAGTCAATAACCCTTGACCACACGGACGGATGGGGATTAATAGTGATTTTATTCTGATGACTTGGCCTAATGTAATTATATGATTGTATTTTAATGTGTTTTATATTAGTGTTTTACAGGATGTGATGTTTTAACTATTGTGTATGAATTCCTCTGTTGTCGGAGGTGTTGTCGGAGGTGAGAAGACCGGTATATAAAAGTTCAAAAGTTCTAAATAAATAGACCGGGACTGTGGCGCAGCTGGCTGGCAGCTGTATCAACTACTGACCAAAAGGTTGTGAGTTCGAAGCCAGCCTGGGTCAGAGTGAGCTTCTAACTTATTTGTGTAGCTTGCTGTAGCTTGTGTAGCTTGAAAGACAGTTGTATCTGTCAAGTAGGAAATTTAGGTATCACTTATCTGGGGAGGCTAATTTACGATGCCATAAAAAAATCTCCAACAAGCATGCAAAGAATGAGGAAGTACTTAATCTGTGTCATAAATGGAAGGTGAGGCAACAGCTCCCCTGGTGGCCAGAATACCCTCATGAAAAAGCTGGAATGTGAAATAGCGTCTGTATGTCAGTCTATATATGTTGTGTGTCTATGGCATTGAATGTTTGAGAAGGGCGGGGTACAAATGTTTAAAATAATAAAGAAATAAATATATATGTTTACTGACATTTTAAAAAAATATTATTAAAACACTTGGATGGTGTCCTCCTGGATGGCAGAAGGGGGTTGGACTGGATGGGAGGGAGAGCCAATACTCCAGAGGACAGGAGCAGAATTCAAAATGATCTTGACAGATTAGAGAGATGGGCCAAAACTAACAAAATGAAGTTCAACAGGGACAAATGCAAGATACTCCACTTAGGCAGAAAAAACGAAATGCAAAGTTACAGAATGGGGGGCAATGGCCTGGCTCGAGAGCAGTACGTGTGAAAAAGATCTTGGAGTCCTCATGGACAACAAGTTAAACATGAGCCAAGAATGATGTGGCGGCAAAAAAAGCCAATGGGATTTTGGCCTGCATCCATAGGAGCCTAGTGTCTAGATCCAGGAAGTCATACTCCCCATGCTCTATTCTGCTTTGGTTAGACCACACCTGGAATATTGTGTCCAATTCTGGGCACCACAATTCAAGAGAGATATTGACAAGCTGGAATGTGTCCAGAGGAGGGCGACTAAAATGATCAAGGGTCTGGAGAACAAGCCCTATGAGGAGCGGCTTAAGGAGCTGGGCATGTTTAGCCTGAAGAAGAGAAGGCTGAGAGGAGATATGATAGCCATGTATAAATATGTGAGAGGAAGCCACAGGGAGGAGGGAGCAAACTTGTTTTCTGCTTCCTGGAGATTAGGACAAGGAACAATGGCTTCAAACTACAAGAAAGGAGATTCCATCTGAACATGAGGAAGAACTTCATGACTGTGAGAGCCATTCAGCAGTGGAACTCTCTGCCCCGGAGTGTGGTGGAGGCTCCTTCTTTGGAAGCTTTTAAACAGAGGCTGGATGGCCATCTGTCAGGGGTGATTTGAATGCAATATTCCTGCTTCTTGGCAGAATGGGGTTGGACTGGATGATGGCCCATGAGGTCTCTTCCAACTCTTTGGATTCTATGATTCTATGGATGAGCTTTGTCTAAATTGTAATAAACTTTTGTGAGTTGTCTTTCTCTGTCCTGGCCTATCTGGTTTAGCTTACGCCTGCCGGGTACAGACCCTTTAACTGTGGTCCTATCTGAAATCACTTCACTGGGGCCATTCTTCTGTCTCTGAATAGTTTTCTAAAACACACATTTATATTTATTACAAAAGGCTAAAAGGAAATCATTTAGAGAAAGACACAGAAGTCAACTTTATTATGACCACAAAGTGGTAGTGAGCAGTCTCTTTAGGCCTCCCAGAGGCTTGATCAATTCCAATTGTGGATAAGCTTTGGCAAGACAAGGTGGAGAGGGATATTCCTTTCTTGGTCGGCTCCATTCTTGTAGCCCAGACTTGTGTTTCCTGGATGCCAGGACTCATGCACACAGTCCCCAGAGCCTGCTGTGCCAAGGAGGCCATGCTTTCCTGTTGGTAGCCAGCCAACTAGGCAAGAGCCATGACCAAGTCTCATCCTTCATCACAGCCAACCACTCAGCACCATTTCCAACTCAGAAGTCTCCAAAGCTGCTTCTTTCCAACTTATCTAAATATCTTCTTTGTAACGCTGTTCTCCATGGATCTGTATTAGTATTTTGGTTCCATTTGCATCCTGGACAGATAAATTATTCAGTCCTGGCTTGTCCTCGTCGCTGTCTTCAAAGACAGGGTTGATATAGGCCTTGCTTTTGCTGTCTTCTGCAAAGTCCCTTTGGTTCAAAGGAGGCCAAGAGGGATCCCTCTGCAGCTGCCTCTGGAGCATCCGGTACGCGCTGGAGGAACGGAACCGGAAGAGGGCTTTGATCCAGAGCCAGAGGCGGTGGTTTTGCAAGATGGCGTCCTGCAAAGAAAAGGAAGAAGGGAGGCAGGCAGTGAGGCACAATGGCCTGAACACTGGAATGTGCCTCTGAGACCTGGGTTCAAGTCCTCCCTCAGCCATGGAAACCCATTGGACGACTCTGGGGAAGTCACACTATCTCAGCCGTAGATGAAGGCACGGCTGCTCTGAACCAATCTTGTCAAGAAAACCCCATTTACTCGAATCAGAAATATGTTGGGATATATATATATATATATATATATATATATATATATATATATTCAGGGTAATAATGCACAATATGCAAATGTTGAGCTACAGCTTCAGGAGATCAAAACTCTTGATAGTTGGCATAGAAGGAAGGAAGGAAGGAAGGAAGGAAGGAAGGAAGGAAGGAAGGAAGGAAGGAAGGAGAGAAAGGGGAAGGTAAAGAAAAGGGGGAATGCAGGAAAGACGTAGAGAAGGAAGAAGAGAAGGAAAGGAAAAAGGGAAGGAAGGAAGGAGAGAGGGAAGGACGGGGAGAAGAAAAGAGGAAAGGAAGGGAGGAAAGAGAGAAGGATGAAACCAAAGAGCAAAGGAAGGAAGGAAGGAAGGAAGGAAGGAGAGAAAGGGCAAGGTAAAGAAAAGGGGGAACGCAGGAAAGACGAGAGAAGGAAAAGGAGAGAAGGAAAGGAAAAGGAAAGAAGAAGGAAAGAGAAAAGAAAAGAATGGAGAAAGAGGGAAAGAGGAAAGGAGGGATGAAAGAGGGAAGGAAGGGAAGACAAAAGCCAAGGAAGGAAGGAAGGAAGGAAGGAAGGAAGGAAGGAAGGAAGGAAGGAAGGAAGAGGAAGGAAGGATGGAGGGATAGGAAGGAAGGAAGGAAGGAAGGAGGAAGAGAAGGAGAGGAGAAAAAAGGAGAGAAAGAGAGAAACAAGGAGGAAAGAGGAAGGAAAAAGGAAAGAAGGAAGGAAGGAAGGAAGGAAGGAAGGAAGGAGAGAAAGGAGAAGAAAGAAAAGGAGGAAGCAGGAAAGACGTAGAGAAGGAAGGAAGGAGAGAAGGAAAGAAAAAAGGGAAGGAAGGAAAGAGGGAGCGAAGGAAGGAGAGAAAGAGGGAGGGGAGGAAAGAAGAGAGAAGGAAGGATGGAAGAGAGAAAGAAGGATGGAAGAAGAGAAAGAAGGAAGGAAGGAAGGAAGGAAGGAAGGAAGGAAGAGGAAGGAAGGAGAGAAAGGGGAAGGTAAAGAAAAGGAGGAATGCAGGAAAGACGTAGAGAAGCAAGGAAGGAGAGAAAGAAAGGAAAAAAGCAAGCAAGGAAGGAAGGAGAGAGCGAAGGATGGGGAGAAGAAAAGGAGAGAAAGAGGGAAGCAAGGGAGGAAAGTGAGAACGTAGGATGGAACCAAGGAGCAAAGGAAGGAAGAAAAGAGGCAAAGAAGGAAGAAAGGAGAGAAAAAGGGTGGGAAAGAAAAAGGGGGAAAAGAAGGAAATAGGGAGGGGAGGAAGGAAAGAGGGAAAGAAGGAGAGAAAGAGGGAGGGAAGGTTGGCCACAGCAACACGTGGCGGATCCATCTAGTATCTATATATTTCAGGATAATAATGGAACAAAATTAAAATTCTATCAAAAGCTGTTAATACAAATCAAGGAATTATCCTGTTATAACATGCTGTTTATGGGAGACTAGAACGGAGTGATATCTCCTGAGCTGGGCAGAATTTCTGGTAAAAAAGGTTAAAGGAGACCAAGGCAAAGTCCCCAAAACTTTCTCTGGATTAATGGACAATCTTATGGTTCAAGGCAGGGTGGCCATCTGTCAGGAGTTCTTTGATTGTGCTTTTCATGAACTGCATGTGGTCATTTCCAGCTCTATGATTCTATGATTCGAAGGTGCTTGGAAACATAGATACAGGCAAGCAAAGAAATACACCCTTTGCTCAGCATAACCTAAGCCTCTGGACACATCTACACTGCTATATAATGCAGTTGAACTGCATTGAACTGCATTATATGCCAGTGTAGACTCATATAATCAGTTCAACTGCGCTATATGCCCGTGTAGACTCATATATGCCAGTGTAGACTCATATAATCAGTTCAACTGCACTATATGCCCGTGTAGACTCATATATGCCAGTGTAGACTCATATAATCAGTTCAACTGTGGTATATGCCCGTGTAGACTCATATATGCCAGTGTAGACTCATATAATCAGTTCAACTGTGGTATATGCCCGTGTAGACTCATATATGCCAGTGTAGACTCATATAATCAGTTCAACTGTGGTATATGCCCGTGTAGACTCATATATGCCAGTGTAGACTCATATAATCAGTTCAACTGCACTATATGCCCGTGTAGACTCATATATGCCAGTGTAGACTCATATAATCAGTTCAACTGCGCTATATGCCCGTGTAGACTCATATATGCCAGTGTAGACTCATATAATCAGTTCAACTGCGCTATATGCCCGTGTAGACTCATATATGCCAGTGTAGACTCATATAATCAGTTCAACTGCGCTATATGCCCGTGTAGACTCATATATGCCAGTGTAGACTCATATAATCAGTTCAACTGTGGTATATGCCCGTGTAGACTCATATATGCCAGTGTAGACTCATATAATCAGTTCAACTGCGCTATATGCCCGTGTAGACTCATATATGCCAGTGTAGACTCATATAATCAGTTCAACTGCACTATATGCCCGTGTAGACTCATATATGCCAGTGTAGACTCATATAATCAGTTCAACTGCGCTATATGCCCGTGTAGACTCATATATGCCAGTGTAGACTCATATAATCAGTTCAACTGCGCTATATGCCTGTGTAGACTCATATATGCCAGTGTAGACTCATATAATCAGTTCAACTGCGCTATATGCCCGTGTAGACTCATATATGAGAGTGTACTCATATATGCCAGTGTAGACTCATATAATCAGTTCAACTGCGCTATATGCCTGTGTAGACTCATATATGCCAGTGTAGACTCATATAATCAGTTCAACTGTGCTATATGCCCGTGTAGACTCATATATGAGAGTGTACTCATATATGCCAGTGTAGACTCATATAATCAGTTCAACTGCGCTATATGCCTGTGTAGACTCATATATGCCAGTGTAGACTCATATAATCAGTTCAACTGCGCTATATGCCCGTGTAGACTCATATATGCCAGTGTAGACTCATATAATCAGAGACTCATATATGCCAGTGTAGACTCATATAATCAGTTCAACAGTGCTATATGCCCGTGTAGACTCATATATGCCAGTGTAGACTCATATAATCAGTTCAACTGTGGTATATGCCCGTGTAGACTCATATATGCCAGTGTAGACTCATATAATCAGTTCAACTGCGCTATATGCCCGTGTAGACTCATATATGCCAGTGTAGACTCATATAATCAGTTCAACTGCGCTATATGCCCGTGTAGACTCATATATGCCAGTGTAGACTCATATAATCAGTTCAACAGTGCTATATGCCCGTGTAGACTCATATATGCCAGTGTAGACTCATATAATCAGTTCAACTGCACTATATGCCCGTGTAGACTCATATATGCCAGTGTAGACTCATATAATCAGTTCAACTGCGCTATATGCCCGTGTAGACTCATATATGCCAGTGTAGACTCATATAATCAGTTCAACAGTGCTATATGCCCGTGTAGACTCATATATGCCAGTGTAGACTCATATAATCAGTTCAACTGCACTATATGCCCGTGTAGACTCATATATGCCAGTGTAGACTCATATAATCAGTTCAACTGCGCTATATGCCCGTGTAGACTCATATATGCCAGTGTAGACTCATATAATCAGTTCAACTGCTATATGCCCGTGTAGACTCATATATGCCAGTGTAGACTCATATAATCAGTTCAACTGCGCTATATGCCCGTGTAGACTCATATATGCCAGTGTAGACTCATATAATCAGTTCAACTGCACTATATGCCTGTGTAGACTCATATATGCCTGTGTAGACTCATATATGCCAGTGTAGACTCATATATGCCTGTGTAGACTCATATATGCCTGCCTGTGTAGACTCATATATGCCAGTGTAGACTCATATATGCCTGTGTAGACTCATATATGCCAGTGTAGACTCATATAATCAGTTCAACTGCACTATATGCCTGTGTAGACTCATATATGCCTGTGTAGACTCATATATGCCAGTGTAGACTCATATATGCCAGTGTAGACTCATATAATCAGTTCAACTGCGCTATATGCCCGTGTAGACTCATATATGAGAGTGTACTCATATATGCCAGTGTAGACTCATATAATCAGTTCAACTGCGCTATATGCCTGTGTAGACTCATATATGCCTGTGTAGACTCATATATGCCAGTGTAGACTCATATAATCAGTTCAACTGCATTATATGCCTGTGTAGACTCATATATGCCAGTTTAGAATCATATAATCAGTTCAATGCAGTTAAACTGCATTCTGAAACTGCATTATATGGTAGATGGGACCTCAATCAGGACATAAAAGGGGAGGGATGATGATGATGATACTGATGATACAAGAAACTAAGGACACCAGGGTTTGACCACTAAACCATGGAAACCCACTGGACAAGGCACACTCTCTCACCTTGAATACAATTAAAGGTAGACACCACCACCACCACCACCACCACCACCACCAACAACAACAACAGAGAAATCCATCAGGTTGGTCATCCTCCTGATTGGGGATCCTTTAGTCCTTTCGACCCAAGATGGGATGATCAGGTCTAGTTAAGAAGGCTGTCTTGTTTTCAGGTAAGTAAGAAGACAGCAATGAGAGGAATGCCAAGAGTTTTGCTGCCATTTGTAGGGTAGAATGTCCCATCCTTATAATCCCCCTCCTCATGGTTACTATGCTCCTTGCGGATGGTGTCCATCGCAATGGATACCACTCTTGTGAAAACATCAACCTTTGGCCATAGAGTCTGAGAGTTGGAAGGGACTCCCAAAGACCACCCAGTCCAGCCCTGTCTTGCCATTCAAGAACACTCGATCCAGACCCTTCAGAGAGTCTTCAAGCTCAGACTCACCACCCCGGTCCCTCACTCACCTCCACAATGAAGGAGACAATAAACTTGACCAGCACCATGATCAGGATGTAAATCCTCCAGATGGTTGGGGTGCAGATGAGCTGTAAGGAAAGGAAAAAATAATATGGCCACCTTTCCTGGCCACTTCACCCAGTCAAGGGTTTTGCTGCAGGGAGCGGAGCATAATCCTGCTTTTTGCTCCAAGCACAGCTTCTTCATGGCAATGAAGATCTGCATAGTGAAAGCAATAGTATTCGCCGTAGTCACCTACGGATGTGAGAGCTGGACCATAGGGAAGGCTGAGTGAAGGAAGAGAGATTGTGGTGTTGGAGGAAAGTTCTGAGAGTGCCTTGGACCGCAAGAAGATCCAACCGGTCCATACTTCAGGAAATAGAGCCCAACTGCTCATTGGAGGAAAGGATAGTAGAGGCCAAGATGAAGTCCTTTGGCCACATCATGAGAAGAAATGAAAGCTTAGAGAAGACAATGATGCTGGGGAAAGTGGAAGGAAAAAGGAAGAGGGGCCGACCAAGGGCAAGATGGATGGGTGGCATCCTTGAAGTGACTGGATTGACCTTAAAGGAGCTGGGGGTGGTGATGGCCAACAGGGAGCTCTGGCATGGGCTGGTCCATGAGGTCACAAAGAGTTGGAAACGACTGAATGAATGAACAACAACAGAGCATTGCTTTCAGCCTTGCTCTCATTGGTCAGATCTTGATGCTTCAGGGAGATGGAGAGAAAGGGCTCAATGCCATTTGCAGACCCTTAGCTACTCACCATCAGCCCCTTGTAGATGGCCTCTATGTCAGCAAAGAAGAGGAACAGGCTCAGGCCCAGCTGGATGCAGAGGAAGATGGAGAAAATGTCTGCAGAATCAAAGAATGGAGAGAAGGGTCCCAGTTAAATCCATGGAGATAGCATCTGGACTACGAATATGGAGACCCAGTAGTAGCAAGGTAGGAACACACATCTCAATGGGACCTTGGAGAGGAGTGCCTGGGAGTCTGGTGGAGTCTCCTTCACCAGTCTTTAAAAGAAGACTTGATGGCCATCTGTCGGGAGGGCTTGGATGGTGTCCTCCTCCTTGGCAGAGTGGGCATCTCTTACAACTCCAGGATTCTATGATTCCTTATTTTTACAGGATGGAATTGGAGGCCTGGCAGTCCAGACAGGGGCAGGTTGGACCAGAGGTCAAAGACAGATGCTTACAAAGGCTGGAATATATATATATATATACCATGGAAGGTCCCCTTCTCAGAACTCACAGTTGGTGTAGATGGGCTTCCTGAAGGGCTTCCCCTTGGAGAAGACAAAGGCCATGATGATGCAGTAGAAGGTGACAATGGCCCAGAGGGAGGTGTCTTCATAGCTCAGCACCATGTCCTCTGGCTCCGTGGCGTTCCCCGTCCCATTGCCCAGGAGGAAGGGCTCATTTCCCAAAGGACAGCCCCTGCAAGAAGGACCCCCAAGAAGGATGACTTTTCCCTCATTGACCAGCTTTTCCCTCTGCCTTGACCAGGACCAGGGGCGGCTCGTCCATTATGCAAAGTAAGCAGTCGCAGAACACTTTTTTTTGCCAGGGGCGCAGAGGCGCCTCTGTAAATGCCCCTCGACCGCCACTTGAGGAGCGCCCCCTCAGCTCACAACAGCCCTCACAGTCCGGGGGGAGCCTCAGCTTTCTTGCCTCGCTGCCAGGCGATCCTCTTCCCAAAGGGGCCGGGCCCTTGAGCCTCGCCTAGCCCCTCTCATTCCTGCTCCACCCGGCCACCGGGTGCGCGAGCAGAGCCGGCGCTCAATTGTTCTCCGCGTTTGATCCCTTCCCTATGACCGGCTCCCTTTCTCGATCCCCCGGTGCTCCACCCGCCTCCTCTCCTCTCCCCAATCCGCGGGTGGGCCAAAGGGCGGAGCCACTGCGCCTGGCCCGCTTCAGGTCCGGAGGCGTGTCTGAAGACCCCGGCGTGTGCACCAAAAGTCGCCTCTTCTCCTGACTTTCTCTTCAGCCATTGGGACCGAGAGAGAGAGAGAGAGCCCCTCCGGCTGGAGGTATCTCCCACCTCCGCTCCCTCCTTTGTTTTTGTGCCTACCTTCAGGAAAGGTGGGCATCTCCACCTCTCTCTCTCTCTCTCTCTCTTGGTCCCAATGGCTGAGGAGAAAGTCAGAAGAAGAGGTGACTTTTGGTGCACGCCTCCGGACCCAAAGCGGGCCAGGCAAGGGAGCAAATGCGGCAAGTGTAGTTACTGGGATGTATAGTTCACCTGCAATCAAAGAGCATTCTGAACTCCACCAATGATGGAATTGAACCAAATATCGCACACAGAACTCCCACAACGAACAGAAAAAATATATATCAGTGATTAGTTATGGAGAGGGCGCCAAAATACTGTTTGCTTACCGTTGAAAATTACCTAGGGCCGCCTCTGACCAGGACTGTTTTGCACTCGGCCAGAGAGAGGCAGGGCTTGATGTGACTGAGCTTGAATGGACATCCCTCCCTTTCTCCCTGCCTTTATTGGTGGTCCACCTCTTCCCCAAGACTGTGAATCAAGGTTCTGAGGCCACACCTTGATGTTGAACTGCTGTTGGGCATCTAGGTCAGGCATGGCCCTCCAGGTGTTTTGAACTTCAACTCCCACCAGCTGTTAGGACTTGTGGGAATTGAAATCCAAAACACCTGGAGGGCTGAAGTGTGCCCATGCCTGATGTAGGCCCTCATGGAACACAATGGGCTGCCACACAACAACCGTGCCACATCTGGAAATATGCTCCTCCAGCATTTTGCAGAAGAGTAGCAGTGAGTGGCCTGCATCAGAGACCTGTGTTACAAGATACATATTCAAGTTGCTAAGCACACACAAAGAAATGAGATCATAACAAAACTGCCTGTAGAGTCAAAGCAGTGACTGAACTACCAGAAAACCCCAGAAAACAGGACTCAATGGAGGATAATATCCAAAGGTCAGCAAAGGTGATACTGTCCTTTGGAATCAGGGGCTGAACTGTAGGCCAGAAGATGACCTCTAGGGGACCCTAAATGAAAGAATCTTTGGTTCTTAGGAAGCAATTGCTAGCCATCAGGGAAAGCCCTACAGAACTTGGCCACGGTAGTCCACGCTCTGGTTACATCCCGTTTAGACTACTGCAACGCTCTCTACGTGGGGTTGCCTTTGAAGACGGCTCGGAAGCTTCAACTAGTCCAACGCTCGGCAGCCATGATACTAACAGGAGCGGGACGCAGGGAGCATACAACCCCCCTGTTGCGCCAACTCCACTGGCTACCGATTTGCTACCGGGCTCAATTCAAAGTGCTGGCGTTGGCCTTTAAAGCCCTAAATGGTTCCGGCCCAAGTTACCTATCCGACCGCATCTCTGCCTATGAACCCACCAGGACTTTGAGATCTTCCAGGGAGGCCCTGCTCTCGATCCCGCCTGCCTCACAGGCACGTCTGGCGGGGACGAGAGATAGGGCCTTCTCGGCGGTGGCTCCTTGGCTGTGGAACGCCCTTCCCACGGACATTAGACTAGCTCCATCATTAATGGTATTCCGCAAAAAAGTGAAAACCTGGTTGTTTGAGCAGGCGTTCAAATAGTCAGTGCAATGAGTGTAATGAACATAGGAATGGAACAATGGATGACGGATCTGGATCATGTTTTTAGTGATGAGACGCAAGTGAATGGCTATTGTTGTTAATTGTATATTATTGTATAATGTGTTATGATGTTAACTGTTTTTATATCGTGTTATTGTTGCATTGAATTTTTGCTGTTCTTCTTGTTAACTGCTGTGAGTCGCCTAAGGGCTGAGAACAGCGGTATACAAATAAAGTAAGTAAGTAAATAAATAAATAAATAAGAAGTGGTTGCCACCCTGCTCTTCCCTTGAGCCCCTCTTCTGTTGGGCCAGGACTGACCTGTGGCTTCGGATCGGGGAGTACCAGGGCTGGTGCCTGACAAAGCGGAATGCAAAGATCTGGACGGTGAGGGTGAAGCAGACGTTGAGGAAGACGGAGAGCAACAGAGGAGGTGAGAGGAGGCGACTGGCGGGGCGGTAGGGGGCCAGCTTCGGGTAGGCCTCCGTCAGGCTCACTAAGGAAGGAAAAAAAGGAGAAGACCATGCCAGGGAGTTCTTCTCCATTGCAAGCAATAAGGCCCTTTATATTCCCTGCCCCAAGCTGGCAGCACCTGGGAAAGCAAAACACAAGTTTCTGGAAGGATGGCTGGGTTGAGGATGCTATTCCACTGTTGACTTAGGGTGACAAATGGAGAGAAAGGGGCACAGGGCAGAGAAGCCCTTCCAGAAAGAGATGGACACCCACTACCCCATACTCCAATTTCAGTAATGGCCCACAAGCCATGGTTTCACTATCAGTGACATTAAGTCACCTGTGGACCTATGGTGGCCCCATAAATCTCAAAGAGTTTCCTAAGACTGTCGCACCTCAAAGTAGAATCACCTTGCTTAAGACACCAAACAGCACACAGGCAATAGTCTTTATGGTTTATTGAAGTAAAAGATAAAAAGTTAAAAAAGCAAAAAATATAGCTCCAAAGTTCAATACAAGGAAACACTTGAAAACAGAATCCACGGAGACACCAGCAAGGCAAAGTCCCATGAGAACATGACAAAGTCTTGAAACCATGAACATGAAAACTACAAGGTAAATCCTAAGTCTCTTGGCTGAAGCGAGAAGTTGCTCTGACACTGGGATATTTTCAAACAGCCTATTTAATACCCTTTGGAAAACATGAAGGCATTCCTCTGGCCCTTGGCCTCCCCCTCTCTCTTGTTAGCGATTCTCACACTCCTTCGAACCTTAAATTCCAAGCGATCAGCTCGTGACCAGGGGAGCATTTGCACAGCTAAAGCTTGTGCGCCAGGTGCACCCGTACCTTGGGAAGTCTGACTTGGCCACGGTAGTCCACGCTCTGGTTACATCCCGTTTAGACTACTGCAACGCTCTCTACGTGGGGTTGCCTTTGAAGACAGCTCGGAAGCTCCAACTAGTCCAACGCTCGGCAGCCATGATCTTAACAGGAGCGGAGCGCAGGGAGCATACAACCCCCCTGTTGCGCCAACTCCACTGGCTACCGATCTGCTACCGGGCTGAATTCAAAGTGCTGGCGTTGGCCTTTAAAGCCCTAAACGGTTCCGGCCCAAGCTACCTATCTGACCGCATCTCTGCCTATGAACCCACCAGGACTTTGAGATCTTCCGGGGAGACCCTGCTCTCAATCGCCTGCTTCTCAAGCTCGGCTGGCGGGGACGAGAGATAGGGCCTTCTCGGTGGTGGCTCCTCGGCTGTGGAACGCCCTTCCTACGGACATTAGACTAGCACCATCTCTAATGGTATTCCGCAAAAAGGTGAAGACCTGGATGTTTGTGCAGGCGTTTGAGTAATTTAGTGCAATCTGGTAATGGAACATAGGAATGGAACAATGGACGACGAACCTGGACTGCGCTTGGATGATGAGAAGATTGGGTACGGTTGTTTTTTGTAATAATTGTGCATTGTAATTGCTTATTGGTAATTTATGGATAATGTGTTAAGTCAATTGTTATATGTTGTATGGAACCACTGCTGTTTCTACTGTTTTTACTGTTTTTGAACCGCTGTGAGTCGCCTTCGGGCTTGAGATACAGCGGTATATAAGCAAAGTAAATAAATAATAATAATAATAATAATAATAATAATAATAATAATCTAAAGCTCCGGCCTCATCAAGGTCAGTCTGTTTGATAGTGCTTTCTTGCTCTTTATCTGGCTGAGAACAACTGTCCTCCCTTCCTGAATCAGAATGCACTTGGCTCTCAGTAGTTTCATTATCAACAGCGTCATCCCTTGCTGATGCTGAACTTCTGTACCCTGTTCTTCCTCGTCTATCACAGGGACAGTGCTCTGCACCTGACTGTGAATCTGAATCCCATCATCCTCATCAGAATCATTGACACTATCACTCTGAGATTCCAGCTGAGTCACAACAAAGGCAAAGAACAGTCAGAGGTGGTTTGGTCAGTTCCTTCCTCTGAAATAGAACCAATATCATTTGGGATCCCTTGTTGGTCCTTCTGGGCTTCAGGAAGGCTAGGCATCACCGACTGGGGAATTCAGCAGCCTTTTTGGGAAAGGGCCCGAGCCCAGTTCTTATGTGTGTCACAGCCATTAAGTTGACTTATGGTGACTTCATGGATTTCTTAAAGATTTCACAAGCAAGGAAGAGTCAGGCGTGGTTCTGCTGCTCCTTCCTACAGTAGTCCACAATGTTTTCCCACCCAAGGTACTAACCAGGGTGGGCCCTGTCCAGCGTCCAAGATCAGATGAGCTCTGATGCCTATTGGGTATTTGTTGTTGTGTTGAAGTCATTGCTGGTTTGTGGCCACCCTATGGCATGGGTTTCTTGGCAATGTTTTTTTGGAGGACATTTGCCCCCACTGCTTTCCTCTAAAGCTGAAAGGTCAACCAGTGGGTTTCCATAGCCACGTGGCCATGGAAACCCACTGGTTGACCTTTCCTGGTCTTCCTGTATCCAACAATAACATCACTAGATCATACTGGCTTTTAGGGGTCTTCCTGTATCCAACCCTGCTCTTCCTGTATCCAACAATAACATCACTAGATCATACTGGCTTTTAGGGGTCTTCCTGTATCCAACCATGGTCTTCCTGTATCCAACAATAACATCACTAGATCATACTGGCTTTTAGGGGTCTTCCTGTATCCAACCATGGTCTTCCTGTATCCAACAATAACATCACTAGATCATACTGGCTTTTAGGGGTCTTCCTGTATCCAACAATAACATCACTAGATCATACTGGCTTTTAGGGGAATTTGTCTTAATCCCGTTAGACTGTCTTTCCAATGAGGGTTGCCAAGCCCCAAAGGAGTGGGTAAGGGCAGAGAAGGGAGGCAGAGGAGACTTACGGCCTAGTTTGGGATTGGGCAGAGGAATTTTGGTGGTTGCCCCAAAGGCCTGGAAGCCCTGGAGGACAAGGAGGCCCCAAACTTGCTCTAGGCTTGTGCAAGTGAGCTCTTCAGCACCATAAATGGAGCCTATTTCCCTCCCAACCTGATAGAGAGTGTGTTCAGGGTGAGGATCCACTTACTTGTGAGGCAGACAACGAGGGTGATGCAGACATCTTGTGTGAAGTACTGGAAATTCCCAAAGATCTGTAGTTGCTAATTTGGAAAAAAAAACAAAAACAAAGAGCAATTCACAGGAGTCCCATGAAGACTTGTTTTGCAACTCTTAATAATGGTTTCATTGGTAGGGATTGGAATGAGGCCACAGGGCTTTGCAAAAAAGACACCCACAAACCAATGCCCTCTTTTATGGAAGGCACCCGCTCTTGCAAACCCATTTGGCTCTTGTGCTGCAGCTGCATTCTTATGCCCCCCTCCCACTTCATGAACGTTGCCCCACATTGGACTTCTTGCAACAGGACCACATGTAATGTATGGTTGGAATGAAATTGAATGAAAGGTGTATGAATGGGGTCTGATGGAGACTGAAGACACCATCCTAAGATATGAGCCTGGAAATACAAAAGGAGGTTAAGAATTCATTAATGGCTGAACTGTGATTAGAAAAGTTGCTGACGAGAACTGCTGACACGGCCAGAGACAGTGATTAACTCTTGGTGGAAAACAACATGTTTACATAGTCAAAGACAATGATACTTTAACGTAGCAAAAACAATGCACCTTACTTAAAAAGGAAAATTAACATCTGTCTGGAACCGATGGGGTCAGCATATTTTAGCTGCAAAACAACCTGTCAGTCATTTACAACTTTTTGGAACAACAACAACAGCAAGAAATATGCTATACTGTATAAGAGACCTTTTTACTATCCAAAAGTGTGGCAGACAATAGACTGGTTACCCCCTCCCTCTTAACATTTTGGAAAAGAGTCAAGACTTGGTTGTTTGAGCAAGCATTTGAAAATGCAAGGTAAATGACATAGGAATTGGAACGACTGGACGACAAGATTGGACAATGTTTTTATTAGGAGATGTAACTGATGTATGTTTTTAATAGGGCTGGGCGGTTTCGTTTCGTTAATTCGTAATTCGTTAATAATTCGTTAATTTTTTCAATTACAAAACGATAACGAACCATTCTGGAGCAATTATTAAAAAAACGAATTTTCAAAAACGTTTTGTAAATGCTTCGTATTTCGATATTGTATTCGTTTCGTTATTGTTTTGAGGTCGTTTCGTTATTATTTCCGCATGCCTGGGCCAGTTTTATGGTTTAATTAGTGAAAAAAATTATAATATCACACCAACAGTCAACAACAGAGGGAGAGGGAAGCTTCAGAAGGTTTTGGAGGTTTTTTAGCGTATTTCGCGGTCGCGTCCGCCATTAACGAATCGATTCGTTATTGTTTCGGAAATCGATTCGTTAATTTTTTTTACCATTTACGAAATTTCGTAAATATCGAACTTTTTAAAAGGAAAATTTTGTAATTATTTTAAATATCGAAACAAAAAAAACCCCCAAATACAAATCGATTTTAGAAACAATTTTTTCCGTTGTTAACAACTGTTTTTAATACTATTGTTATGGTTTTATATTACGTGTTCATGCTTTTAAATGTTTTATGGTGTATTGGGCATCGAATCGTTGCCTCTGTAAACTGCCCTGAGTCGCCTGAAGGCTGAGAAGGGCGGTATACAAATACAGCAAATAAATAAATAAATAAATAAATAAATAAATAAATAAATTGCAAACAAAGTGCTTAATGGGCAAAGGCATTACGCAACATGTAATAGCTACTATAATGTGTAACTCTGATCATTAACCCTACACACATAGCACAAGTTAAACCCATGGATAACAAAATACACATCAGATCTGTAGGGGAGGGTGTAGTGAATTCCCTAGAAAAGTAGGCTCAAGAAGTTCAGCAGCCATTTTGGAAAGGGTGCCAGGGGAATTCATTTTAGTTACTCATTTCCTGAAGGGGGCATGTTTAGAAAGAGCAGCTTTGGAGGGAAATGAGGGAAGACTGTAATTGGCTGAGTGAGAGTGGGCAGAGCCTAACTTGGCAAAAGAAAAAAATGACTTTAAGGGAAGGTTTTGAAACCCTGTCAAGCAGATTGACTGTGGGTGTCAAAGAAGAAGGAGCTGGGAGTTAGGAGTGGTGAAGAGTTAGCGAGAGAGGCCTGAAAATTGGTCAGCTGGCTAGCAGAGATAGCTAGTGAATAGATTTCTACAGCTACTAGGGAGATAGCTGGCAGAGGAGTGAGGAGATAGATCCAGGGTAGGGTGTTTAGAAATTACTTTCAGAGAAGCAATCCTGTCAGTAAATTCTGTGAAGGGAGAGAGAAGTGTTCCTGTGTAACTAAGTCTGAACTGCTTAACATAACCACACACTTTTATGCCAATACTTTGAAACAGCTAAGCTTTATACCTGTTTTGTTCAAGTTATCTTAAATAAACATCAATGTTTTGTTGTTCACAACATCTGCCTCACGTGTGCCTCTATGGGTGAAGTTTTAAAAGCAGTTTCTGGCAGCAAACAAGAGTATGGTGGCAGCGTATAATTTAAAGAACAATCTTTTAGTGGTACATCAGAACACAAGCTAATCCAACACACTTTTGCTTACGATACTTCGAGTAAGCCAAGGGCTTAACAGTGCTTTTAAGAAAGTTCCAGCTTTTATTACAGTTTTTTTTATTTTGGCTTTTAACCATCTTAAGCCATAGTCCATAACTGGTGGTTGCCACTTTGGTGGGATATTTTGTTCCCCAAAATAAACCTCCATGTGTTACAGAGGGCTTACCCAGAAAAGCAGAGCTGTCCCGAAGAACTGCGTCAAGGCGTAAATGGCCAGGTATTTGAAAACGGCAAAGGAGGACACTAGAGATGCCCGGCCTTCCCTGTGATAGAAAGATCAAGTGTTTGTGATGCACTCAAGATGACAGTGGTTGGTTCAGGAGCACTGAGGAAACACCTTCAGCCTGAATCAAATGTGCATTGGTGTCTGGGAGAAAGGGCCACCCTTAGGACCACTGTCTGGCCTCACATTGCCTTGCAATCACCAGCATGGCAATCTGGATGCCAGGAGAGGAGGTCCAGTGCAGAAAGGAATCCTCTGAAGGGGAGCATAAGAGGCCTCTTTGTATAAATGGGGAGCCCTTTGTTTGTGTCACATGGAAGGAGGCACAACGTACCGGATGAGTTCTGGGACACACTGGATGTTGGGGGTTTGGGAGGTGAAGGGCGAAGCCACGGAGGCCTCCTGCTCGGAGAGGGAGATCCCCGCATGAGCCATCTTCAAAGCCTGGAGGGAAGGAAGAAAAATAATTCCCATTGATTACATCTCTCCATCCAAGTAAAATGGGAACGATCCTCTTGTATGCTATGATCCCTCATGTGTTAGAAGACCTCAATTTCATGTAGGGCAAAACCCCCTCTGTCTGCAATGTAGAATGAACGGGGTTTATTTATTTTATTTATTTCAAATATTTGTACCCCGCTCTTCTCTACCCCCAAAGGAGGACTCAGGGAGGCTTACAGACGGCAACAATTCAACGCCCCCATATACAACAGATAAAACAACAGTTACGTAATCAGTAAAACATTAACATTAAAAAAAACATATAAAATAGTACAAAATTGAATTAGTTGGCGTGTCAAGTCCGAGTTCTACAATCAACAACTTAATCTGAAGCCTGTCCATAGTCTGTTTTCCATAGCATTGTCATAATTTTTATTGTCAACCTGCTATCTGAATGCCTGGTCCCATGGCCTCGTCTTCAACTTTTTCCTGAAGGAAAGGAAGGAAGCTGTTGACCTAATTTCACTAGGGAGCGAGTTCCATAGGCAGGGGGGCCACCGCCGAGAAGGCCCTGTCCCTCATCTCCACCAAGCGCATTTGCGATGAAGGTGGGAAACGAGAGCAGGGCCTCCCCGGAAGATCATAAGTTTCTGTTGTGACTCAGCTGGATTCACAGAGTGTCTCTGATGAGGATGATGGGATTCAGGTTCACAGTCTGGTTCAAAATGTCCCTGTTATAGACAGTGAAGAAGTACAGTTTCCCATGGCAAGGAATGAGAGTGTTGATTCTGAAAACAGCCAGGTGAAGGTGCAGATTGATTCAGAGAAGGAGGACAGTTTTCAGCCTGATAATGAGCAAGCAGGGAAACAGGATGATACTAATGAACAGACTGACCTTGATGAAATGGGAACCTTAGATCGGGCTGACCGTTTGGAATTCTGAGTTCAAAGGAGTGAGAGAATAGCTAACAGGAGGGAGGCCAGAGGCCAAAGAAACGCCTTCATGTTTTGCAAATGATATTAAGCGGTGTGCTTAAGATCAAACTTTTGTCAAAGCAACTTTTCGTTCAACTAAGAAGCTTGCCTTGGTTTATCTGGACTATCTTCTTGTGTTCATGGTTTCAGGACTTTGTCATGTTCTCTTGGGTTTTGCTTTGCTCGTGCCTTTTTGGATTAAGCTTCAAGTGCAATGTCATATTGGTCTTTTGGAACATTAACCTTTGCCTTCAAGAACTTTTTACCTTTTCTTTTTAATAAACTATAAAGACTTCTGGCTGTGTGCAGTTTGGTGTTTTCAGCAAGGTGATTCTACTCTGAGGTGGGACGTAGGGGGAGATACGTTTAGACAAGTAAGCTGGGCCAGAACCATATAGAGCTTTATAGGTCAAGACCAGCACTTTGAATTGTGCTTGGAACTGGACAGGCAGCCAGTGGAGCCAGTGGGTTGCCATCACTTTCTCCACGATGGAATCCTGGGAGTTGTAGTTTGGTGGGACACCAGCCCTGTCTGCCAGAGGAGACTAAAGACCTCGTAAGGCTACAATTCACAGGGCTCTACAGCATTGAGCCATGACAATTTAAGTGGTTTCAAAATGCATTAATTCCACAGTGTAGGTACACCTTGAGTCTTGCTAAGGAAACCCTATGAAATCAGGCATAAGACAATAGATGACTTGATAGTCCATAGATCTTCTTGTTGTTGTTGTGTGCTTTCAGGTCATCTCTGACTTAAGGAGACACTAAAGGGAACCTATAAAATTGGGTCTCAAGGGAAAGAGACCCCCTTCTCAGCCCCATCTCAGTTCTGAGCACAGATTGCTTATGGTGTAATAAACAGAAACGAATACACTGACACAGTAACAGATGAATGGAAAACACAATGAGATTCATTGTTGCATGATCAATATTGTGTACAAAGAAAACCCTAAATATTTGCAAAGCCTTTACTTACCATGAAGAAATGGACATTGCTTTAAATGGGTTTGGAAGGGATTGTTTCCACTAACGATCCCCACCATGTTTACGGGGAAGGGATCAGGATGGGCAACAACAAAGATGGAGACGGCAACAACACAACAACCTGGCTTACCCCACAGTCGTTGGCTCCGTCTCCGCACATCCCCACAAAGTAACTGCAAGACAGGAGAAGACATCATTGGGCCAGCCATGAAATAAAACAGGAACACAGAACAATCACTTGGAACGCAGTCTTATGATATCTTTAAGGCTAGCAAGTTTCTTCCTGAAGCGGCTTCCATGCTTCCTGTTTATCTATGGTTGTTTTGTGCCTTTGAGTGACCCTAAGGCAAATCTATTATAAAGTTTGTTGACAAGATGGGTTCACACTGAGAGAGGGGGTTTACTGCCTCCCTCTGAGGCTGAGAGAATGTAACCCACTGTACCGTTACACCCAGACGTTATAAAAATGAACTAAGATGTGCTTCCCTCTATGTCTGAGCGAACTGCGGGTGTCTTTCTTTAGAAGCTTGAGATATTCAACAACTGAGGCTATTAAAGGTTTTGAACATTAAAAAAAAGGATATTTATTCTTCAAAGTCCTTGCAGACTTGGCACAGCTTATTGAGGTTACAAACAGAACAGTCAATAGTGAATCCACAGAGATATTCTTTCTTTCCCTTCTCCTCCAGTCACTGAGTTAACTTTTCTCCAGAAGGCAGAGAAGATCCTGGAATCTTTTCACCCTAACCCTAAGCTGTTACTTTTTAGAAAGACCAGGTCTTTCCCTATCTATGCTCAAGGTTAGTTCTGGAGATAAAGCAATGAAGTCTCTCTCTATATATCTATATAACTCAGTTTCTCAATAGGCTTCTCTATCTATAGTACTTCAATCTCAATCTTCAATATCTATCTATAATATCTCGATCTTCAATTTTTCAATCAGCTATAACTCAATCACTCAATCAAGCTTAGCTATCTATAGTATCTTAATAGTCTTAAGGGCTGGGCGGTTTCATTCGTTAATT